CCTCCCCGTGTTAGTCTGGGTACTTTAGAGAAACAAATCCACAGACTCATGTATAAGAGAGAGTCTTATATGAAGGTTAAGTGTGCATCAGGAAAACATCCCAACCCAGTGCTCCCCAAGCCCACAAGTCTAATATTAACCCATATGTCCAACACCAATCCACAAAGTCCTCCTCCATCTCAGAAAACACACACTATGATGCTGACTGCAGGAGGAAATCCAGGTCAGTGAATGTGTAAGCATCTCAACGCTGGCAGGGGTCTCCACATGGCTGCTTCAGCACCCAGGACTGCATAGGTTCATGTGGCTTCTCCTTAGGGATGTCTTGTAGTAAGTCAGCCTTGAAAGCTGAAGCAGAAAGCTGCTAGGGCAGCTGCACCCTGGTGTGACCATCACAAAGCAAGAGACCTGAGAACTAGAAAGGCAAGGCTCACCGAGCCATTTATTCTTCTGCCCTTCAATTAACCCCACATGTGTTTATTGGCCACTTTGGCACAATAAGCTAAATACCTCACCCTCCTAAGTCATTTTCAGTTGTATTCCATGGTTTGTTTTCTTGTGATTTCATTTTCATTCAATCCAGTACAGACATCCAGGATATAAAAATTAAACTCATGTCAACTATAAGTATATATATATATATATATATATCATTCACTCCCTGAAATTGAGTTAATGGAAACATATAGTGACGCTATAGGACAGGTAGAACTGCCCCTGAGCATTTCAGAAACTGTAACTCTTTATGGGAGCAGAAAGCCCCATTTGTCTACTGTGGAACAGCTGAATGGTTTTGAACTCCTGAGCTTTCAGATCACATCGGGTTAATAAGTAACACTACACCACAATGGTCATGTATGCATACATGCATATATTTGTGTTTATGCATACAACATATAGTGTTGTTCAAAAATATTAAGGAAGAGAGGATTTTTGGAGCAAATAATATGGGGGGAAAGGAAACCCTAAGTACCAGCAAGAAGCTCTTTGCTCCCATGCCTTCCCCATAGCCCTTGCCCCAGAGCCTGCCTCCTGTGTTTTGTGCAGCCCATGTGATCCCTATAGGCCAATGTCATTATTGCAGGGAAGGTTGTGCATGGGATGACACTGAGTCCTCTCACTGTTCCTCTCACAGTAATGGACAGCTGTGCCCTCGGTGGGCATTGAGCTCACCTACGGGGAGAACGCCTTGTGGACATTCTTTTCTAGCTTGAGCGTAACTCAATTGAGATGGGTTATTGTTTTCTTGTACTAAAACATATTTAGAACAACTACTCCCATCTATCCTATAGGTTTTGTTAGTTCCAACTCCAGAAATATGTAACTATCGGAGACAGTAAACTTTAAAGAAATTATCTGTGAGAGTTTCATCACTCCTGGGTTCGAATACGATGCAGTACCTTCACAGGACATCCGAAGTAATCAATGATGACAGCTAATTCCATTCTCTTTTATGCCAAACCATTTTTTTAATCTCTTCATGCTGCTAGAGAGATGTAATCACCAGACCAAAGAATATCCAAAACAAAATCAGAACTTATGGACAGGTTATGAATTTCGTAGAGAACTCTGCTCATAGTGTGCTATTTTTCACCAAATTACGAAATTTAAACTGGAAATCTAATGGTGATCTGGATGTTAGAATCCCCAGAAGAAAAAGGAAAAAAAGTAGAGAAACCTCCAATCTTTTCTCAGAAACTGAAAAGAGAAAGTCTAATGTCCTCCTTTTCTCTGGGATTGGCCCCCATTTATGTAGAAATCAAGGTCCTTAAGTAGAAGATCAGAGAAACTGTTGGGACCCAGAAAGCATAGTGTTAATAAATTCTGATTTCTTTAAGAACCCCAATTAATAGTGGACATTTATTCTAATATGTTTTCTCTTGAGAGTTAATTCCTCTCTCTTTATCATAACATTTCACTTAATATCAGCTGTGATGGTGAAACATGTAGAGTTTTGAAACTCAAAATAAGCAAATGGCATGAGTAGGTACTTAACTGAAGGAGGCATTCATGTTGTAAAGATGCAAATATATTAACTCCCATTATTCATTGGCACTATTGTTCGATTGGCTTTGTTTGTTTCTGAGAAATTTTCTTGGAATGGGTGGTTAAAGAATGGCCATATTTTATGGAAAGCATTTTAAGCACTTTCACGAAGTCATTTTCATATCTATGCTCAATGCAGTCTGTGGTGTGATTTCTTGTTTGTTGTTTCCATGGGTGTTCATTGTGCATCACAGCAATACAGAATCATTAAAAACATCACCAGTTTCTCGGTGCACCATGATATTCTGAAAAATAACCCCCAAAACTGTAGTAAGTGGAAAACATGAAATCTAAGTTGTAGTAAACCCTGATAATAATCTGTGATATGCAAATGACATAAAACTACATGTTGTAAGATAGTGTAACTTGAGAAACTTACTGATGAAGTCCAGGAATTATTGCCTTCGCTGTAAATTACAATTCAATGTAAAGAAAATTAAACTCCTCACTATGGGACCAATTGAAATTATGGGAAATGGAGATAAGATTGAAATTATGATGGAGTTCATCTTGCTTGGATCTACATTCAATGTTCATGGAAGCCACTGTCAATAAAATGATGCATTTCATTGAGCAAATCTACTGCACGGACCTCTTAAAAGATTGAAGAGCAAGGAGATCTCTTTGAGGACTAACGAGGTACCTGACCCGAGCTATGAAGTTTTCAATGGTCTCATATGCACGTGAAAGCTGGACAATGAATGAGAAA